GCTTCGATATAGAAGAAATGATTAACTTAACTAGGGCGAGAAATCAGACAGCAAGATCGGTTACAGATTCTTATTCGATCGTATCGGATCGTACATCATTATCGTATATGATCATGTAAGATCCGACGAAAAATCGTCGTCTCTGAAATCTTACATCAGGAATTATGGTAAGATTCTTGTATGATTCATCAATAAGATCTTATATGAATAGATAATATTGGAGATTAAGCATTCCGTTGTTTTCTTGCGAAAATCGATGCCATTACTGGTTACGTGGTTCTATATGTCAATGAAGAATTAAGTTAACATCACTTTACTAGGAAGGAGTTTATTTTTGAAGGAACTATACAGTCAAAAAAACTGGACCCTAGCTTTACCGATTAAATCAAGAAAAAAAGAGAAACATCTAACTTAATGGAAAAGAAGAGGCTCGGAAAACAATCTATAACGTAGAGAATACTCTCAAAAAGAGATAAAAAACTAGAGAACTATACTCCTCAACCTCCATAGATCTCCTAAATGATAATAAAAACGTTTTTTAAAAATTATGTGAGCTATATACTAGGAACAGAATTTCTACTACCTGTAACGAGAGGTAGTAGAAGAAAAACGATTTTGAAATGTAAATAGGACTCAAAAGGAAACAAAACGGCTTTTTGAAGTGTATGTTATGTGGGGGAACCAATTAAGACATATTTGTTTTTTTCTGTAACTCAGGAGCATTTATTGCTCCATGCCCGACTTCTTCACCATTAAATAGGTCTTATAATGGACTATGTAGCCTGAGACCATTTTCAATATCACATGCGTTTTGACTTGTTTACCAGCTAAACGGTTTGTTCCCAGCGCACATAATATGAAAACACTTTATTATTTCCTAAACAATTTCAGTTTAAAACAGTGAAAGAAACATCAGTCGATGAAGAATTGTATGGTCACATTTAGAAAACCGTTTTTGTCCATTCATAGACTGTTGTTTTACGATTCCCATTAAAATTTTGTTTTCATTCTTGTCAGCGAAGAATGTGATTGCAAAATGATTTATGTAATCACTCTCAATGCCTATTAGTGCATGACAAAGACCGTGAAAAACTTAACTAAACCGTTTATTTTTTATGTGCAAACAGTTTGGTGGCAGCAAGGAATTCTAAAGCTTTTTCTTTGGGATAAGTGATCGGTTTTTTGGATTGTAACATTTTCGTTTTTACTAAGTACCGCCTTATAAATTTCAAACATACACGAGGACGGTAGGGAATTAAATTCTCTACAATGTGAGACTTCTTTCAGCTTTCTAAGCTCGACCGTTCGAAAGTTAAAAGGAAAATACGTTTGATCGATAGATGTCGCTTTTTTCTCATTTGACTTATTGTAATTTAAATTAATACACTGCACTGAGAGTATTCCGAACACGCCGAATTTTGTGGATGTGGTAAAGAATTACGGAAGATCTCATCTTGTAGAGCATTTAATTCTCTGCGATTCTGGTGTATTTTTGAAAATTTTCTGACGGTTTTCAGCGAAAACAATGTTGAAATCTAAAACCGATGACTCGCCAGAAAAAAATTCTTAAAATTCCTTGCTGCAACAGAATTGTTTGCACATAAAAATATGTGGATTTGTTTAGTTTTTCACGCTCATTGTCTTGTACTAGTTGATATTGAAAGTGATTGCATAAATCATTTTGCAATCACATTCTTAGCTGCGATCCAGAAAAACGAAGTTTTAATGCCGAATTTATAACAAATAGTTTGTTGGTAGATGAAAATGCTTTTCAAAATGTAAAACGTACAATTCTACGTCGATTGATATTTATTTCGATTTTTGAATCGAAATCACTTGGTCAAAAAATGCGAAATACTAAAAAGGGTGTTATAATTATGTTCTCTCGGAAAATATTGTTTTCCTGGTAGTTTATTCAAAACGTACGTGATTTTGAAGTTGTTTTCAGGTAAATAGTTTTTAAGATGAGGCATTTAATGGTGAAGAAATCAGTCTCTAGCCATAAATATGGCTCAGTTATAGCAAAAAAGAAAATGTGTTAGAATTAAATCCAGCACATTATATTAATATCATTTCGAAAGAAAGCAGGTGTGTTTTGAAATGTATTCTGAGGGGTAAAGTAATGAATTGGGATGGTCCGCAGCAGAATATGTATTGGGGCCCTATTGAGCAAGAATGTGGGTATGCGTTATAATAGTTTATTTGTTTTTTGTGAAATTCTCATCCAATCAATTTGAGTTTGATAAAACCGAAACGAAAAGTAAATGCTTATAGCTGGCGTTTCTCGCTACGCTCAATTTTATCAGTGTGAGATAGTCTTTCTTTGGCTTATTATATATGGTGAGATGCTAGTCAAGCCATTTGTGGGACACGCAGTATATAGGCGAACCTAAAAAATCTAATTATATGGGGGACTGCCATGCAGCATCCATATTTTTCTTACTTGAATATATTTGAAGAGGAAAAACTGGCTTTTATACCTACATTTAAGAGATAAAGCAATGCCTTGTTGACGGTCTGCCGTAGAAACTGTTATTTATGAAGCTAAAACCCAATACTGTATTTCAATAATATGAAAAATTGATATATAAAGCATAATTCTATTTATTATTCGCATTGTTTCATAATACAGAGTTTGATGAATCAATTTTCGAAGACGAAAAGGGCAACCACAGATCAGGTATGATCATACATGATCATACATGACCAAACAAGATTTGCATTACGTACTACTGTATGTTTCTTTTACTTTGGAATCTTATTTGAGCTGATAGGGTCTGACAAGAATCACCCGATCGGCTCATGTATGTTTCTTAAGCTTAGAATCTTGTAAGATTTATGAGGGTATCTTTCATTCAGAATCTGATGAAATCTTTCGAAAAATGATGTAATAAGATCCGGTCTGATCTTATGATAAGATCAGATAGAAAATCTTGTATGTGCAAGATCTGGCAAGGCCTTGTACGACCTGTTGTCAGATTTTTTGACCTGGGTAGCTGAAACTTCAGCACATGAATGAAATAAGTGAAATCTGAAAGAAGAATAACTTTTTACATAAACGATTGCTATTTATGTAAACTAGAGCACTTTACGGATCCGTTGATATTGGAGAGCCTTTTTCTCTTACAATGGAATGGGCTCGCAGTATAAGGTCGATATATTGGCTAGAATTTCTAGAGAAAGTTCAGCTCTCGCGTTTCATATCTTATGAGTACTGATGATCAGTACTATTCGATGTGCAAGCAAATTTTTGTTGAGTTCGTTAGATAGAAATGTTTCATATATCATAGAGAGTAGCCCAAGCAGAAAATACGATTTGTAACTGTTTTTCAAAGGAAAGATCAATCGAAAATGATGATTGAACGCAATATCATAAAAATAACACTCTTCTAAGTGACGTGATAGAATTCGACGACTCAGCTTCGTCCTGGAATAGTTTAATCCTTTGTCTTTCTTTATGAGTCAATCCGTTGGGTATACAACTCTCTTGTAACTTCGTGTACCACCATGCGTAATCAGAGAATTTAGGTTATTTTGAATTCTCAAGAAGCATGAAAGAATTCAATGATAACTTCCCAGGACGAATCTTACCCACCGAATGCTATCGGATCTCTTTAAAACCGACAGAATTCTATGGGAAGTGACCGGAAACGACTAATTTCTGGCTGTATTATATTGATTTTTCGTCGGATTCCGACAACAGCTAATAAAATCTGGATCAAATTCTTGGCCACTGGATCATTGGACCTGGGCTTTCTTAGAATTTTTCAATTGAATGTTGCTGTGACTTGAGTCAGACGCAATAGAAGAGCATGAGTTGTGCGTATCGCATCTGTCGATGCCCATTGGATCCGACTACAACACGGATTGGAAACCCACAATTAAAAAACCTGGTTAGTTCCGACAGCTAGATCTGGTGGGATATTCGAGGGATTTCTACTTTCGGAAAGTTTGTTGGTTTCGACAGTCGGATTTTGTTGGATATTCGACGGAATCCGACATTCGGATCCGTTACTCAATCCTCAATCCGGAATCCCACTGGATTCTGCTCTTTGCTAGGAACCTATACGATCCGATAGGATTCGACATCGTATTTAATCGCCTGGGTTTCTCAGTCTGCGCTTCCTAGATTACTTTATTTTTTCACTCAGAAACGTTACTGATTTTGAATTAAATCTTTCAGAAAAGAGATGGAATCAGTAATGCTTTTAATTTTCGTAAGCTTGAAGAGCAACATATTTACATAAGTGATTGACCTCAGACTATTGGGTAAGTGACACAAACACTAGTCTGCATAATTCAAAATACTCATGAAAGTAGCATTTAAAAGGTGTTGTGTCATATTGTCTGAGTTCCATGAAAATGGTAGCAGTAGTTTGCATGGGTGTGAGTCGGAACATGGAATATTTCTTGAAACCCACATCCTCTTTACTTAAATATGGTTCGTAAATTTAAAGAATATCTTTTTTCCTAATTCGTTCGAGTAAAACGCACATGAGATGAATAAAACTGGCCCTAAAACACCATTCAAGAATTTTTCCACATTTCAAAAACAATTCCACCAGTTTCCGAATGTTGAGATTTGAATTCCGGATTTTCAAATTTTTGACACCTGGCAACAGTGATCCTAAGGTAGCGGCACGGACAAGGTTTTTTTACCTTTTCACTTGAGCACCGTGAAAATAAAAAAATGCAAACCGCATGGGTTAGGTGTAAGTATGACAGAAAAACAAAGTTGCGCTATGTTAACCAATTAAAAATAATGTTAAACCAACGCCTTTTTGAATTCTTGATGAAATATAATCTTCGTTTGCGTGTTTCATAACTTTACTTTTTAGTTTCATGAATACTTTTATTTTTTTTATCAACAAAAAGAATTTGAACGAAAATACTTTTGATTGAAAATTTTATATTTATATGATAGATATTGATATAGATTAATGATGATTAGTTTTTTTTTTAATTTTAAGAATTTATTTCTACTTTGCCGATTTCGAATAATGTCAAGGACCTACGCAACTAGGAACTTTGATCCAGTTGATCACAATATCACGGAAATGTATGTATTAAGAATTTGAATATGAATCATAAACACATATATACGCATATTTAGAATTGAGAATGTTGATTGTATACCAATGCGTAGAGAAGCAACTCCTAGTTATAATTCATATGGCGCTCCAGCAACAGCCAGTAGCTTTACTAATGCTGCTCCGATTCGTACTAAATGCGAAGAAGATACGTATCGATATGTTCACGAAACAGCTGGCAACATTTATTGGAGTTCTAATCCAATCATTACTCGACCACAAAGTGAAGGTCCAATAAGATCTGAACAACAGATTACTCTTAAATGTCTTCAACCACCACCTCTTCGGGAGCCAGAAGTAACGGAACGAATTTCTTACAAATTTAATCCTATACTAATCTTTCTATAATTTTAGCCAAACGTTATAATAGAAAAGCGTCCAGAACAACCACCGCTACTTCCACCACTTATCATACATGAACGAGACGAAATTTGCCCCTCCTCGCAACAACTTATCTTTCGTGAACGACCACCATCACCACCGGATTGTGGTCCCCCACAAATCAGTTTGAAAAATGAAACTTAAATTAAATGAGTCATTGCAATTTATTTTATAGCTGAGCGATGCTTACCTCCTGTACCTGTTCCACCAAGATCACTTGTCGTCGAACGTTTTCCAGCTATGAAAAAACCACGTAAAAGAATTATATTCATTTTTCTTTTTGTTGTTTTCGAAATTCGGATTATTGTCTTTTTTTGCTGTTTAGGTGATATTATAATTGAACGGTGGCTTCCCTATGGACCTTTTCCAGAACGCCGCACGATTGTTCGACCCGCTCCTCCTCCTATAAATTATCCGAACCCAACTCATACTCTCATTATTCATGACAAGTGTCCAGTAGTTTTTGTCGACAAATTTCAATGTCTGGGCGTAGTTCAAGAAGATCCTGAAGCTTATAAACGTCGCTATGGGTCATCACTTTTGGATCCACGCACACTTGTTGAAGAGGTTCGCCGTGCCGGTGTTACTGCAGATATAGTAAATTATTTTCGAAAAAATATACCTGGAGAAAAAAGCTCTAGAAATTCTTGTTTATAGACATGTCCATGCGACGCACGTCCATGTACTGTAGTTGATTCGAGACCAATTTTACCACCTGAACCGTGCAAAGATTGTTATTGCGCAATGCATGGAACAAATTGTCCAAAATTGCGACAATTTGCTGGCACACAACCTGTTAGTTTTGATAATTGTGAAGTAATCTATGATTGTGAGGCCAATTAGGTTACGCCTATCACTACTACTAATAACCATGATGAAAAAGTAAAACAAGCAACATGCCACCAATATTTTCAAAACATTAATTAACTATAATTCTTTTTTATTTTCTCTAACGACATTATCTAACCAAATTTCTATATCGTTCTATTTATAGCATTATTTATCCGAAATTCTTTATTTTTCTATTTAACCACATTTCTTGTGCCTAGTTTTTACACAATGGAACATATAAACTATATAAAATAAAAGACACAAAAATAGCAATAGGATACATATTCATTAAGCACTACATGATACTACTATCAGCTGAATCACATTCTCTTGAGGCTGTGGGTGTGAGGCGTGACTAGCTACCATGATCTATAGATTTCATCCTTACTAAAGGAATCATTAGATGGTAAATAATTCTAATGATTTTAAATAAAAATAAAAAGATTAATTTATAAACTGTTATATACAAGGATAAATCTTAAATATATGATGATAAAAACATTTCATTTTATTTGCTTAGTAAATTTGTTTTGTATTTGCTAATATTTCAAGTCGGCAATTTTCGAAACGTTAGCTTTTTAAAGTTTTTCAAAGTCTTTTTGTTGTATTCTTGTTTGATCGACATGTTACAGATGTTTGTTAGCTTTCCTGTTAATTTTTGTTCATTGTAAATCGGACTCGTATCTTGTTCAGTTTGTTGTGGTCTTTTGCTTCTTTGGTTCTAGTTAATTAGAGAAAAAGTTGGATGGTTAATTTTTTTGTGAAACGTTTCGCTGAAGTTTGTTTGAAACTTACTCTTTGTTATTTTATTTTGTAATATTGCTTCTGTTGGACGCTTTCGTATCAGTTCTTTTTGAGTCTCGCGACGATTCCGATTATCAACGATCAATCGTGTATACATGACTGGTGTTTGTTGAAAGACGTCTTTTTTATATTTGGTGCATATCTTGCCGGTATGGTTGGAAACGTTTTTCATGTGTAAAATGTATAAATAATTTTTCATGAAAATTTAAAGTTTTTTCTTCTGTTTGTTTTGTAGATCCATTTGGTTGATTCAATGGATCATCTACTTCTTCATTGTCAACGTTAGCTTGGGCCACACTTATTGCTACTTGTGATTGGCGAAATGTTGACTGACCTAATACTCTTTCTCGTCTATAGATGTATTTGGTTTCGCCATCAATAAAATGTAAAAATGGTGATATTGATATATATTCGGAAAAGTATTTCTGGAATTCATTTTCAATAAATGTCAATGGATATCTATAAAATATAGAATTAAATTAAATTCTTTTCATAATATATTTTATATAAACTTACTGGTTATAGAGTAACATTAATTTTATATTACGTCGTTCATTATTAAATTCTTCAAATGTGGATGAATATCTGGTAGCACATTCAAGAGAAGTTTTAATAATATTTGCAAAAATGTGTCGTAGATGATCAGATGTAAATGGGGCAACATATGGGTCAGCTACGGGCTTATGATAAACAGATGCTACCAATGGGTGTGGATGTGAGTGAAAAGAAGACTAAGACTCACACACACACACCCCGAGATTCTGATTCAACTGGTTTTTTTCTTAATCGAAGTATGTATGACGAAATGTTTTGTTATTCGAATATCGAAGAATTGGCAGTAAACTTAAGAGTAGGCAGTCTAGTTCAGCTTATATCTAAACTTGTACCACATATTAATTGTTTACATATTAATTGCGACGCGCTATCATGTCTTAGAATGCCGGCATCAATAAATATTTCACCTCTTGTTCACCTGAAAGATTTTCAAATAAACGCTATACGTAATATATTGGTCATTTGATGAAATAGATTATATTCTGAGTACGATGCCATCTTTGCAACGATTAGCATTAAATCTGTCTACAGACGATATAAATCTTGTTACTGGACATAATCTCTTTCGAATTTTACCATCCACATGAGTAGAAATTCATTTATTCATTATTTATTACTTTGGCGGTTTTGATTTTGAAATAGACACATTGCTTCCTACATGGCCAAATCATATCCAAATAACATGTTTGTTTGAGTAGCAGAACAATTATGTAGTAATACATACAATTCCTTGCGAGTTACTGTCCATTATCATTCCATCAAAAATCTCCAATCGCATGTTAATTGGTTCGAAATACACAAGAAAAGTGAAAACTTTATAAATATGTGGCGAACAGCGTTTAAATGATATTCATTTGATCGTACAACACTTTCAACGAATTCGAACACTCACAATTCCCTCAAACAGTTATATGGAAGCACGTAAATATATGACGTGAAGAGAAGAAAGAAACCGATAGAGTAGGATTAGGAGTATAGAACTATATTAAGTCATCAATAGATATATCAATAGTCAAAACGTTCTCAGTTCTTATTGTTGCATTTTTTTTCTTTTTGTTTATCAATACTACTTTACTTACACTATTATCTAAAAATTCGAATATATCATCTTAGTATTTTCACAGAAATCGAATCATTAGAAATATAATCAAATAAATTAGGAGGAACAGGAATTTATTGCTTGCGTCGTTTTAGCATCTAAATAATTCTAAACCAACATAGCGGAAGAGAAGTATAATGTTTTTGTTGAAAAATAAATAAGGATGAATATTTCAGCTGGTTGTCTAGCACATTAATTGAAAAATTTTACAAATCTTTGGTGGTTGTGGGTGTTGTATCGTAATCCAAACAACACCCAAACCAAAGCCACAGCCACACCCACACCCACAAGATTTTTACTCCTTGATCTTCAAAATATCAATCTAAGGTGAAACAGCTGAAATCTGATTTTTTTTATTTGCTTTGATTTTTCTGATTTTCTTTATTTAAATTCAGTTGGTTTTAAATAAGAAAAACCAAGAATAAAACACAACAAAAAAAATAAAGTAAAAAGTAAAAAAATGATGAAACTCAAAAAAATCAGAAAAATAAAAAAAATCTGATTTCAGCTGTTTCCCCCTTGATGTAAGCACAAATAGTAAAAAGCTGACTCTCAAAAATTACAAAACAATGCGGCACGTGAATGTAGATAGATATGCATCGAGACTCGACGATAAATGAAAACAGCGTTGTCGAGAGCGTAGAAAGGAAAAAAACCATGTACGAGGTAGAAAAAAATGCAGAAAATAGACACTGGCCAGAAGAACGACAAAAGCAACACATCAATCGAGAATGGGTAAGGAATGAATCATGTCAACAGTCGATGTTTTAGAAAGTGAAGATTTGGGTATGGCTGTTAGTATTGGGCGAATATGAGTCGGTGGACGGATATAGGTTTACTATTTCTCCACACCCGCACCCAATCATTTTTTCCCCATGATTTATTCCTTGCGACGTTGCTCTCTTTACACAGTATGGACAACGGTGTATATACCAATAGAGATAACAAGAAAATAAAACAAAAGACCGCGATACAAAACAACCTTTCATTCGCTTTTCTATGGTATGCATATACTTGTAGAGATGGTTTTAGTAGTTTTGTTTTTCTTTTATTAATTCGGATCTGATTCGTGCTTTCATTTTACCTATTAAAAAATGAATGATTCATATACTTGTCATGGCTTATTTTGTTTTGTTCTTTCATTTCTTCTCGCTTAATCTATACTAAACTTTCATCTGACATGCGCTTGATATGATGTGGGAAAATTTTGGGAAGAAAGAAAAAACATCGGCAAATGAATTAGCATATGTTTTAAAGATTTGTTTTTAGCAGAAATATTCAACCATTTTCAACGTAAGATAGTTTAATGTCGACTAGTATTTCTTTACACGAAGAAATAAAAAAGTCTCGTAAGGAAGATTTTTTTGAGCATGCTATTTCGATTATCTCATCATGAGAACGTTCATTGATATAAAACAATTTTTTGTATGATAATAATGTTTGAATATTTTCTTTTAGAAGTATCAATTTAATAAAAAAATGTCTGACGAAAATGCTTCTAGTCTTCAAGATGCTAATAAAAGAGTTATTCAAGATATGATAAAATGTGCAGAACAACAGAAACGTGGTGATGCATCAGGTGAAGCTATGTCATGGGTTATAGAAATTTTAAAAAAATCTGGCCCATCAAATAATTTTTATCAGCACGTTAACGGTCCTTCTAATCAAGTTGTCGAAGTTGAAAATATTTTTGAAGGACAAACTGGTGATGGTAATACTTGGAAAATGCAGTTTATAATCAATGCCGATTTGCCAAATGAAGCACGAAAACATAAGGCACATTTTGGTTGTGATGTTTTTTGGAATAATGACAGAATTCTTGCTACACATAAATGGCTTCCAGATGGTATGTTGAAAGTTGGAAGACCAACTATCCAAGGTATTAAACTTGAAGAATTTCAAACTGGAGGTGACGACAAAAAATTTGATAATAAACGTTACGTAACTTGGAAATCTATTTCAAAAAAATACGCATAAAATTTTGACATTTATTTTACACTGTTCTTCATAGAAAAAACCATTTGTAATAAATATTATTTATACAGAGTATATTCTACTTCGGGTTGACCAAAAGCTCTGGTTACGACGGTGTATGTTGTGGGTGTAAGTGTTGCTCGATCAAGATCAATCTCACCCACACCCTAATTGACCACTGAAGTCTAGTTGTTACCTGCTAGGTTGATCATTGAAACGATGACTTGATTGTGATGAATTCTTTTTAAGCCGCTTGGTTCAGATCAGAAAAATCTGAAGAGTTCTGACTTGTATTCCAAGCACTACTCCAATTTATTTCAACATACATTAGATGCAATTTATACACACAACCAAACTAGAATAAAGCTTATCTAACAATGGAAGGTTGTGAACTGTTAAGCAGTAAAATTGGCCTTGTTCCGGGGAAATGATCACTCTCATCGAGAAACTATCGTATTTAAAAGATGAGCTGCTCATGGCTTACCTGGACAGAGATATTCGATTTTTCAGTAAGCTTTCTCTGCAGGACCTTACTTTCGAAGCAAAATCAAATTTTTGAATTTCGCCTGAAACTTTGTAAACATGAAAACCTCAATGAGGCTAGCACATAAAACAAATTTCAGCATTTTTCGACAAATCCTCTTCGAGATGTCCATCTCTGAAAATATTGGCGTTTTTCTATAGAAGTTGCATATCTTGAGAATTTCATGTCTCAATGAAAGATTGTTCAAAAATGCTGAAATTTGTTTTATGTGCTAGCCTCATTGAGGTTTTCATGTTTACAAAGTTTCAGGCCGAAATTCAAAAATTTGATTTTGCTTCGAAAGTAAGGTCCTGCAGAGAAAGCTTACTGAAAAATCGAATATCTCTGTCCAGGTAAGACATGAGCAGCTCATCTTATAAATACGANAGTAAGGTCCTGCAGAGAAAGCTTACTGAAAAATCGAATATCTCTGTCCAGGTAAGCCATGAGCAGCTCATCTTTTAAATACGATAGTTTCTCGATGAGAGTGATCATTTCCCCGGAACAAGGTCAATTTTACTGCTTAACCGTTCACAACCTTCCATTGCAAGATGATTCATGCAGAATGAGAATAATTACGATTGAGACAACATGGAGTCAAGTATACAAGGAGTATTAAAAATAAGCAGTTTCTTGGAAAGAGAAAAGAACAGTGGGAAACAAAACAGTTGCTTTGCTCTCAGAAGATAAAACAAAAATTTTCTTAGAAAGTGTTATTTACATGAGAAATTCAGTGAATTCTAAATACATGTTCTCTCTCTCTCTGTATATATATATACGTTATAGTTAACATGGGGATTCAGCTGAGTTTGGAATAGTAGATTTTAATTAAATATAGAAAAAAGAGAGCAAAGAAAAGAAAAGAAAAAAGAATTTCAAAAATCAAAATACAAATAAAGTTATATGAACGGTATGGAAATTGTTTTTTATAAGTTAGATTTAGCAAAATATTTTCTAATTGATCATAATTTAGATTTCTTTTTTAAATAAGTGACCAAAAAAAAAAGTTATTTCGTATTTTTCATTTATCTCAATGCGCTCTCATATAGCTTGTATGAGTCATATAGTAATTAATGTATCTTGTTGAAGTGGTACTTTAATATTAAAAGGAATTAAAATACTTCGTTGATTCTGATATTAATGTTACGTCATCAAATAAATACTTATTTATACGAGTTTTACACTTCAAAAATTTAGTAGAATCTATTAATATCTAACTTTTTTGTCATCATTTCTTTATTAATTTAAGCTTTTATAATTGATAATCGTCACTATGAAACAGACAATGATTAGACATAAATTACGAAGTTTCTTTTATATTAGCTTATTTATTTTTAACGAAGAACGATTGTAGCTAATAACACATCAAATGGAGTACTCAT